ACTGTGCCGCATCACTCGGCCTCAGCCCAGGGCTTCAGCTGCCTTGAACCCCACCTTCCTGGAAGTTCAGAAAAAGCCTCTGTGCTTCCCCACTGGGGGGGGGGGAGAGGTGAAGTCACCTGTTGTGGGTGTCCCTGCACCCCAAAATGTGGCTCTCGAGACACAGCATTCCATTCAGAGGACAAGGCCCAATTAGTAGTGCCCTCTGGAGGCTGAGCTGAGACCCCCATGTGGCCAATCTTAATGCTGCCCCACCTGGTAGGGAAAGCCTCTGTACCGTCCGTAGGGTCGGCTCCAGCCCTCTTCTGGCAACAGCGTGAACCACAGGGAGCTGCCGAATGTGACGCACACACACCGCCATTGCCCAAAGGCCGACCTCTGGTGCAAGAGGCCACCTCACCTGCACCCAGCCCTGCCTAGCTGCCAAGGAATCCCAGCACTGGGCAGGAAGGAGACTGCTGGGGCAGCACCCATTTCTACATTGCCGATGGAAAGTGCCTTGCCAAGACCCCCTGCTGCTGCTGAAGAGCCCAGGGGACCCTGAGGGAGAGGCTGGGTGCTTTTATTGCTTTCCAGGCTGAAGGGGGAAGAGTGCCAGGCTGATAAGTCCCTCAATAATTAAGGGAAGTGAAGTTCTTGCTGGCGGTCACTGTGCCTGGCTGGTCAAGTCAAGGGATTGCCTGGGCATGGGCTTCTTGGGCAAAGCCAAGTGCGTTTCTGGCAAAGGAACTGGGAGGCCAGAGGACCCATTGGGAGGATGGGAGGGTCACTCCTCAGCCACTTTCCTGAACCGCTTTCCTGGCGGTTCGAAGGCGCCTCTTCCATGCGGCAGTGCACAAGTTCCCCGTCCAGAGCGCAAAAGGGTCCCAGGTCAGTCCTGCAGCCGAGGAGGAAAATGAAGCCAATGCCTGGAAGAGGAAAATAGGGGCTGCAGAAGTGCCACGAGCAGCAGCCAGACTCTTCTCCCCCTCCCACACACAAAGTGCTTGGGAGGGTGGCTTGGAGCTAAGGGGAGGAGGATTGTGGGCCATGTCACTCGGGTGCTTGAGAGGAAGAAAGGGAAGGGGAAGGCCACCACCTGGGGGCTCTATGGTAGGGGGAGAAGAGAAGGCCCAATACATGTTGCTTGTTTGCATGCAAAGAAACTTCTGTTGCATCCCCAACATGCTTTGGTTGATTTGGTGTGAAACACTGCCCGCAGCCCAGATGCATCATGCGCCGGCCACGCCCAACCCCATTTTAGTGATAGGGGAAAAGTGATACGTCATGTGACAACGTGTTGTGAGTTTGACACAGTTTGCTTTAGGTGAAGAAGGTTGGGCCACCACACCACACACCCCCAGGGGCTGCATGGCAATTTCCCCTGGAGTAGCCCTCTTTGATGTCAGGCCTTGCTTGAATTACAGCCAAGGCACATGTGACACCTGAGAATATTATCGCCAGCCTGCATGGAGAACCTGCGGATGTTTCATAATGCACTCGCTTCCCATGATCTCACTGACACTAAAAGTAAAGAATAAAAAGTGAATCTTGATGCTTTTCAACTGATGTGGCTACTCACAGCATTATACGAACAAGCACCTGAGTTTGCTCCACACAATTCTCGCTACCCCTTTCAGTCGCTTCGTGCTCTCTGAGCTTGGTGATTTCCTTGAAGGTGTTTTCAAAGAGCCTCCAAGACCATCCCCTACCAAGACTGACAGGGCAAGACACTACAGTGTAAAAAGAGAAACCCCACTCCTTCCTAACACTGATGAAATTACATAGTTGGGTCATAAAACATCTGCAAGAAAATAACCAAGCTGAGAGACCACCAAGGACCCTTCATTTCAACCCTCAGCTGCAAAGATTCTCCTGCAGGGGTACCTCAGTTGGGTTGCTTCTCTCTCTGGAAACTTTTGCCATGTTATGCATCTGAAGGGAGGAAGAAGAGAAATAGGGAAGGTGGTGGTAAATTCCCCCCCTCCCCCGCCCCATGCTAACTGCATTCAAGAGAAGCCTATCGGATGCCCTTCCCGCCTGCCAAAACATATGAGCTGCTTAAAGTGCCCTTGTAAGAAACCGACCTTCAGAGCAAGCCGAACACCCCTCCACCCCAAGTGGCGACAAGGAGGCGTCTCGGCCAGGAACTTCTGGCCTAGAAAGCCAAAATGTTGTTGTTCGCTGACCAGATCTCAAGGATAATCTGCATGCTGACCTAGTAGGAAGAGATGAATAATAATAATAATAATAATAATGTCACACAAACCTTGCAATCTGCCAATGCCTGGGAGAGCAAAAGGGAGACTGGGCCAAAGATATTGGAGCCTTGCTTTCGCTTTTGCTAATGGCCGCTCGGCAAAGCCCTCCTGGGGCTCCACTATATCCTGCCTTGTTGCTTGTTTGCATGTAAGGAAACTTCTGCTGCATCCCTTGAGTGATTTGGTGGCGTTAGGTGAGCCAGGGTTGGGCCACCATGGGCACTGCAGGGTCCTCCTGGGGCTATGTGGCAACCGGTTCCAAGGATCAGCTTCTCTGGAGATCAATTGCTAAGTGAAGCAAACCGACCCTTTGCCCCGCAGAGCGACAATTTCTGCCAGACACTGAGACACATTTTCCGGGCAGCAGACCAAGAAAAGTGTGGGGACCCCCGGGATGGCCTTCGTGGTCTTTAACAGATTAACAGAGTTGGAGGGGATCTTATAGGTCATCTAGTCCAACCCCCCTCTCAAACAGGAGACTCTACACCATTTCTGACAAATGGCAGTCCAATCTTTCTTGAAAGTCTCAAGTGATGAAGCTCCCACAACTTCCGAAGGCAAGTTCTGTTCCATGGGTTGATTATTCTCACTGTCAGAAAGTTCCTCCTCATTTCTAGGCTGAATCTCTCCTTGGTCAGTTTTCATCCATTATTCCTTGTCTGGCCTTCAGGTACTTTGGAAAACAGCTTGACCCCCTTCCTCCTCTCTGTGGCAGCCCCGCAAGTATTGGAAGACGGCTATCCTGTCTCCCCTGGTCCTTCTCTTCACTAGACTAGCCATGCCCAGTTCCTGCAATAGTTCTTCATATGTTTTAGTCTCCAGTCCCCTAATCATCCTGATTGCTCTCCTCTGCATTTTTTCTAGAGTCTCAATATCTTTTTTATAGTGTGGTGACCAAAACTAGATGCAATATTCTAGGTGTGGTCTTACTAGGGCTTTATAGAGTGGTATTAGTACCTCACTTGATCTGGATTGTATCCCTCTGTTAACGCAATTTAGGATTACATTGGCTTTTTTAGCTGCCGCTGCACACTGCTGGCTCATATTTAGCTGGTTGTCCACTAAAACTCCAAGATCCCTCTCAAAGTCACTGCTATTAAGCCTGGTTTTCCCCAGTTTATATGTGTGCTTTTGGTTTTTTTTTACCTAAGTGTAGGACTTTAATTTTCTCTAAATTGAATTTCATTTTGTTAGATAGGGCCCAGTGTTCAAGTCTGTCAAGATCCATCTGGATCTTGAGCCTATCTTCTAGGGGTTAACTATTCCTGCCATCTAAGTATCATCTGCAAATTTGGTGAGTTCCCCTTCTATTCCCTCATTTAAGTCGTTTATGAAGATATTGAAGAGTACTGGGCCTAAGACGGAACCTTGTGGCACCTCACTGTTTACTTCACTCCATGTAGACTTAGACTACTAAGGACTACTCATTGAGTTCGGTTTGTCAGCCAGTTGCAAATCCATCTGGTGGTGAAGCTATCTATCCTACTTTTTTCTAGCTTACCAAGAAGTAGGTTGTGGTCTACTTTGTTGAAGGCCTTGCTGAATATATTATGTCCACAGTATTTTGCTGGTCTACTAATTTAGTAACTATGTTGAGGAATGAAATAAGATTGGTTTGGCATGATCTGTTTTTAACAAACCTGTGCTGACTGCTAGTTATTACTTTACTCATTTCTAGGTGTTGGCAGATCTGTTTTTTTTATTATCTTTTCCAGTAGCTTCCCAGGTATTGATGTTAAACTGATTGGTCTGTAGTTTCCTGGGTCTGTTTTTTTTCCTTTTTTGAAGATGGGAACCACATCAGCTCTTTTCCAGTCCTCTGGTAGTTCCTCGGTGTTCCAGGATTTTTGAAAGATGTGGTGCAATGGTTCTGAGATGATACCTGCCAGCTCCTTTAGAACTCTAGGGTGTAATTCATCAGGTCCTGGTTATTTGTATTCATCAAGATCAGACAGGTGTTCTCTTACTGTTTTTTTGCTTATTTTTTTTTTTAATTTGATTAATATGCCGCCCTTCTCCGGAGACTCAGGGCGGCTTACAGTGCGTTAAGCAATAGCCTTCATACTTTTTGTATATTTATACAAAGTCAGCTTATTGCCCCCACAAACTGGGTCCTCATTTAACCTACCTTAGAAAGGATGGAAGGCTGAGTCAACCTTGAGCCTGGTAAGATTCGAACCTGCAGAAATTGCAGGCAGCTGTGTTAATAACAGGGTGCATTAAACCACTGTACTACCAAGGCTTTTAACTTTTATTTCCAGTCTGGTTTTTACAGTTATGTTTCTGGTAGGTTGGGCTATAGTTTCTTTTTGTGTGAAGACAGATGCAAAGAATGAGTTAAGCAGCTCTGCTTTCTCTCTGTTGCCTCCTTGCCGTCTTCTCTCTTTAGTGGACCGACTGTTTCCTTGATTTCTTTCTTGTTATTTATATGTTGGAAGAAACTTTTTTTGTTATCTTTGACTTTTGTTGCAAGTCTTTGTTCATTCTGAGTCTTTGCTTTCCTGACTTGTCTTTGCAGATTCTGGATGTTTGCTGATATCCTGCCTTAGTTATGTGTCCCATTGTCCCTCTTTTCATTTTATGTCTGTCCCTGCCCCACTGCCCTCACATTTATTTATTTTATTTTATTTTATTTCCAATTTATATACCGCCCTTCTCCCTGAGGACTCAGGGCGGTGTAGAGCCAGAATGAAGAACATGAAATACAAATATTAAAAACAATTAATATATTAATATATATATAAATTTGGCCCAAAAATTAAAAATCACAAACCAATTAAAACATTTAAAAATTTCTTCTTAAGCCAGCCTGGCTTGCTGGAAAAAGTGGGTTTTAAGGGCACGGCGGAAGGCACTGAGGTCTTGGATTCTCCTTATCTCTGGGGGCAACTGATTCCAGAGGGTAGGTGCCCCCACAGAGAAAGCCCTCCCCCTGGGGGTCACCAGCCTACATTGTTTGGCTGATGGCACCCTGAGGAGGCCCTCTCTGTGGGAGCGCACGGGTGGATGGGAGGTCGGTCGTCGGTAGCAGCAGGCGACATGCCAAAGTCACGGCCAGCGATTTCTCAGAAGCCTCCGTCCCCTCGGGCGGGGATCCTGCCCCTCCCTGCCACGAGGGGCGTGGGGAGGCGGCAGCTCAATGGGAGGGGGTGTAGCCAGCGCCAGCATAAGCGGGGCTTTATAAGGGGCCGTCCCGCCCGAGGCTGGCAAGTCTAGATTCCTGGAGAGCACCATGGCGATAGGCACAGCACTTCTGGGGCTCCTCGCTTTCTTGCTCGGCTGCTCCGGCACCTCTGCCGAACCCCAAAACTCGGAGCGCTCCGCCATGCGGAAGGTAGGATGCGGGGTGGCGGGCAGAGGGTCCCAGCCTCCCTCGTGGAAAGCCCCCGCTACCAGTCTCTGCTCGGGTGGGCGGCAGGTGCAGCGCAGAGGGTGCCGCTTCCTCGGGGTTGGTCGCACCCAGTCCCGTTGCGCTGAGCGCCGGAGGCTTTCAGTCCCCGACGGATGGTCGGCTGAGCGTTTGCTCCTCTGCCGCCGGGGCTGCTGCTCTCGCTCGCTGGGCAAACAGCAGAGCGATCCGCCCGCGGGGTGCCATCGGGGCGCGGTCTGGCAGGCGCCTCGACCGACGGGACTTTGGGATGGGCCGCCTCTGCCAGCCGTTCCCCCGTGGGCAGCCCGGGGGATCGGGCACGTGGGCGCAGCGGGAGTTTTCAAATCTCCGGAGAAAATGGAGTCTGCGCTGCCAGTCTCTCTACCTGTTGGACAGCCTGGCTCGGCCAGCGCCGTGACCTGCTTTCCTCCCCGCACCTCCTTTAGTGCGTCCTGACTGGCAACTGGGTGAGTGACCAGGGCTCCAAGATGGTCATTTCCGACAGCAATAATTCCGGGGTGTTCAGCGGCTCCTACCTGACGGCCATGGCTGCCACCGACAACCTCATCCGGCCATCCCCTCTTCAGGGCGTCCAGCACCAGGTGGACCAGCGGGCCCAGCCCACCTTCGGCTTCACCGTCAACTGGAGTTTCGCTGGTACAGCCAATCATTATTTGGGATGGAAGCAAATAGAATGGGAGGAAGGAATCTAGTGGATTTCCCATTCCTTGCAGGTTTTTTTCACTGAATGTTCCCCCCACCCCCTTTAGTTGGAGCTGCCCAAAGATTCCAGGTGCCACTGGCATGGAGTAAATCATTCGGGCTGGTTGATCTATGGAACATACAGCCCCCTCCCCCCACCCCAAGTGCTATAACCCGGTTACCTGCCAGTGAGTCTCTGGCCAATTCCTCCCTCAGAGTCCACCGCTGTCTTTGCGGGCCAGTGTTTCCTGGATGAGGATGGAGAGGAGCAGCTGAAGACCACCTGGCTGTTGCGTGTGGAGGTGGGATCCGTGGCAGAGGACTGGGGGGCAACCCGGTAAGGAAAAGGAGGAGCTGAACTACCAAAGACACAGGAGATTTCACCCAGCCTTCTTTGGATCTGTGCTGTTCCCGTCAGATGTGGCCTGAGTGGGTGGAAGGAGGGAATGTGGGTGGGTGAGTGGGATGCTCAGTCTGGGGGGACAGCAATCATGCCACCATGAATTTTGAAATTTTCCTCCCTCCTGCTTCATTGTAGGGTTGGCACAGACACTTTCTACCGCACCAAGTGAGAAGGTGAAGAGAGCCAGGCTTCCGTGGTTTCTGCCTTGGGGGGACGGTGGGGGGCAAGCCTTCCTACCTCACCCATCAGCCAGTCTTCTCCAATAAAATGTTTTCCTGAGCAGCATCGGCTTCCCTGCTCTTTCAGAAGTTCTCTGGGTGCCAGTCTGCAGGCTTCCCAGAGATACTAGCTAGGACCCCCATCTGGAGGGTGGGCTCAAGCCAGCTCTGGGGTTCAAGGGCCCTTTTCTGGTACTTTCCCCCATATTTTGTCTTGGCTTGGTCCTGGGGGGAGGGTGCTTTCTACATGCAGACAGGCTTGTTTTGAGGAGCCCTCTGGAGAGATGGGGGCTTAAGGGAGGTTGTTCTTGTGGTCAATCCTGATTTGGCCCTCTCATCTCTATGATCACTCTGCATTTTACATAGCTGTTGCCCTGGAGGACTGTTGGGAACCTGCATCTGATCCATAGGGCAGCAGTGCGAGGAGTTATAGACCTGTCCTGATGGGGCCTGGGCACCTTGTACTTTGTGAGCTGAGCTGGTTCTCAGTGGGTCTCTGTACAATACAAGCTGCTGGGGGTCACCCGATAAGCCCTTTGTCCCCAACCATCTCTGCCACTGGACAAGATTAGACAGAGCTGCACCCTCGGGGTCCCTTCAGTTAAGCAGCATTGTTTGAAGAGAGACAGTAGATGTGCTAATAGCATTATGGCCACGACCTCTGCATTCATGGATTCCTTACTGATAGATTATTGTGGTATAACATGAATGCACTGAAATAATTTTGCAGGATGGAGGATGAAAGGGAAAATTTTGCAGAAGCAGAAGAATGGCCCTGAGTGAGTTTGTAAGCATAGAAATGAGGCCAAGCAGGTTGCTCTGACTGGATCCAAGAGAAGCTTTAAGCCAGGCATGCAGTGGGACACCTCAAGGTTTGATCTTGGGCCTTGCACTCTTCAACTTCTTCTTAAATGGTCTAGATGAGGGAATAGAAAGGGAACTCATCAAATTTGCAGATGACAGCAAGCTGGGGGGGGGGAGATTGCAAACCCTTTAGATGACAGAGTCAAGATTCAGAAAGATCTTGGCAGACTTGAGCATTGAGCATCCCATCCAACAAGATGCAGTTCACCAGTGAGAAAAGTACAATCCTGCACTTAGGTGGAAAAACCAAATGTATAGGTATAGAAGGTACCTGGATCAACAGTACGATAGTAACTCTAGGTGTCCTGGTGGATCATTACTGAGGTGTGAGTCAGCAATGTGCTGCAGCTGCCAAAAAAAGCCAGCGCAGTTCAAGCTGCATCAATAGAGAGACCAAGGGAAGTGACAGTACCCCTCTATAACACACTAGTGAGGCCACATTCGGAATTCTGCATCCAGTTCTGGTCAGCATGATAAGAAAAGCCTACAAAGAGTGCAGAGAAGAGCAACGAAGCTGATCAGGGATCTGGAGGCAAAACGAATGGCTAAGGATAGCAGGTGTGTTTAGTCTAATGAAGGGGAGACATGACAGCAGTCTTCCACTACTTCAAGGGCTGCCATGGGGAAGGGAGCATCCATCTGTTCTCCACTGTGCCTGAGGGCAGGACTAGACACAATGGGTGGAAACTCATCAGGAGATTCAACCTGAAAATAGGGATGAATTTCCTGACAGAGTGATCAATCAATGGAACAGCATGCCTCCTGGAGCTGTGGAAGCTCCATTGCTGGAGGACTTCAAGACGACATTGGACAACCACTTGTCCAGGATGGTTAAGGACTCCTGCCTTGGGCAGGGGGGTTGGACTAGAAGATCTCCAAGATCCCTTCCAGTCCTATGATTCTTTGATTCAGTTGAGAGATTGGTGTGCTGTCCCGCTCACTCACACATACAACAGTGTTTTAGTGGGTTATTAATATTCACCAGCATTTCCCTTCACCAAAATTCCAGAACGGTCCCAATTCAGCCAAAAGCAGCCAATGCTAATCCACAGAGCAATGGCCAATGAGGCCACAAGGCACTTGAAAGTTTCCCAAACAAGATAAACCCACCAGGCAAAATTAAATCCACAAGACAAGAGGATTCACGAGGCAAGAAAAGTCCATAGTTCTCAAGGCATGATCCAAAGTCAAGGCGTCAATCCAAAGCAAGGCAGGAATCACAACCACCAATAGGCAGATAGAAAATGAACACATTGTTCCCAGCATGGCCCCCATCTCTCTCCTCGTAACTTGGGCGTCCTCCTGGATGCACGGCTGTCTTTAGAAGAGCATATGACAGCCGTGGCCAGGGGGGCTTTTTATCAGGTTCGCCTGATACGCCAGTTGCGTCCCTTTTTGGATTGGGACTCCTTATGCACGGTCACCCACGCCCTAGTCACCTCTCGCCTGGACTACTGCAATGCTCTCTACATGGGGCTCCCCTTGAGGAGTACCCGGAGGCTCCAGCTGGTCCAGAATGCAGCCGCGTGGGTAATTATGGGGGCGACATGGCGCTCCCATGTAACACCTCTCCTGCGCGAGCTGCACTGGCTCCCGGTAGTCTTCCGGATGTGCTTCAAGATATTGGTTCTCATCTTTAAAGCGCTCCATGGCTTAGGGCCCGGGTATTTACGAGACCACCTTCTGCCACCGATAACCTCCCACCGGCCAATCTGCTCCCACAGAGAGGGTCTCCTCAGGGTGCCGTCAGTCAAGCAATGTCGGCTGACGACCCCCAGGGGGAGAGCCTTCTCTGTGGGGGCACCAGCCCTCTGGAACGAGCTACCCCCAGGAATACGACTGATCCCGGACCTCCGTACTTTCCGCCGAGCGTTGAAGACCTTCTTATTCCAGCAAGCCAGGCTGGCTTAAAATTTTAATGGGCTATTTTATGGGTAAAGGGTTTTAAAATTTGGGGAAGCCAAACTGATCTAATTCTGTTTTAATTTATTTTAATTTTTATACTGTATGTATTTTAATTTTGGCTGTTCACCACCCTGAGTCCTTCGGGAGAAGGGCGGTATACGAATTTAATAAACCTAAACCTAAACCTGTGCTAAACAGCCAGCTTTTGGTGCAGCCCACCAAGAAGGGCGAGACTTTCTCCTCACGAGTAATCTCGCTGATCATCGCTGCTCCTGCCTTTTCTCTGCCCTACATGTCCTTGGATCAGGTGCAGAAGGCAGAGTTCCTCTTCCTCATCCCTGACCGGCTGCAGCTGCATGCTTTCCCCATCTGAATCCTCAGGGCTGCCCTGCTGCGCTTCAGCCAAATCCCTCTCTGATGGCTGCTCGGAGCCATTGGCCAACTCCCCTCCAGCCGTGGCTGGGAACAGTTCATCCTCCTCCAAGCTGACATAAGGTATCAGGGGAAGCGTATGGGGGTGGGGGGTGGGGAGTCATCACAATTGATCACCCATGATGTGCAGGGACAAGTGGTTGTCCAATCTTGTCTTGAAGTCCTCCAACAATGGAGCTTCCACAGCTCCAGGAGGCAAGCTGTTCCATTGATTGATCAGTCTGTCAGGAAATTCATCCCTCTTTCCAGGTTGAATCTCCTTCTGACAAGCAAGACAAGGACAGCAGGATATAGGACAGGGCAGAGTGCCTCGGTCAGGCTTGTCGGTGACCTGTGCTGAGAGCACTATTTAAATCTCAGACTCAACACACACGCACAGAGTTACTATGAGATAATAGTAAATTACTCAAGCTGAACAGTTAAATAACAGATGAGGAAAAGGAATGTAAGACAAAACTGTCTTGGAAGGAAAGCCTGCCGGTTTTGTTTTCAAAGGGAATGCAGAGAAGTTAAAGTCTAGTCCGAAGTTTGGAAAGCCAAGCCAGGTTCATCAGCCTGACCCAAAGCCAGAATTCCACAGTGTTTTACATGACCAGACTACACAGGAACAAGAAGCGGGAGCCGGTGGCAATTTCCCTGCAGAGAATCATGGATCAGGACTACTTGCTAAACGAGGTTGCATCTAGTTGCCCTTAATTAAGAGAGCAACTTTCCTTGCTGGGCCAGGAGCCTCAGAGAACCTCTAGGGCCATGATGAGGAACTTATGGCACGTATGCCGGAAGTGGCACACAGAGACATCACTCGGGGCACACCAGCCGTTGTCCATTGCTCTTCTGGGTTCCGGTGTGCACATGTGTGCCGGCTGGCTGGTCTTTGCGTGTGCGGGAGTGCCGGAAACCAGAAGAACAGCTCCCTAGCGCGCACGTGTGTGCCAGGAAGCTGAGCTTCTGGACTTTGCGCGCACATGTGCGCCAGAAACCAAAAGACCAGGTGACCAGAAACTCAGCTGCTCTTCCGGTTTCTGGCACTCCCACCCACACACTCACGGTCCCATTTGTTGGCACTGAGTGAGCTTTCAGTTTCCCATCTGGTCTTTTGGTTTCTGGCGTGCCAGCTGGCTGGCTGACATGCTCGGTGAGATGGCTCTGCATGCCACTTCCGGCACACATGCCATAGGTTCGCCATCACGGCTCTAGGGCCTCTCTTCTCTACACACACACCCGGCCTGGGGGCTCTGCCTCGTTGTCTGATTGCTCCAGCTTTTCTGATGATGGCAGAGTTTGAACAGTGAATCCCTGCTTGGTATTTGGCTCCCCTAAAGACCAAGCAAAGTACACAGGTTCCAGCCTGATTCTGCCACAAAGGCAGCATGAGACCTCTGAAAAGCTTAAATCGAGGGCACTGCGTTCTTCCTGCACCCTCCCTCATCTCCGGGAGGTTTTTCATACCATCAGCCACGCTATCCTAGTGGACTGACCCTGGAGGTTGAGAGTGGGGGGCACCTCATCCAGCCCTAGGCCCCTTTCATGCGGGGTCTGGGTCTCTCACCTCTGCTGTTCCATACCCACACAAGGCTCCTGGTTAAGTGACTGGACAGCATTGGGTTTTGGTTAGATATCTCTACCCTAGGATACCACAGGTGGCGTTGCTCAAGTGCTTTTCCCGTGCCCGGGGGTGGGGGGTAGGGGGGATTGTCAGAGACTCGATCCTAGCAAGACAGAGGGCTTCTGGACGGTTGGGTCACCCCTGAATCTGGAGAATCTTGTTATCCTTAAATGCACTTCTCCACAGGGCTGGTGTTGGGGGGGGGGGAGGTTCCTGCTGGGGGAAGCGGTGGCAGTCGTGGGTAGGAGGACCCTCTCCCACATTGATCTTGTGTTCTGTTCTGGGAGGCCCTGCCACACCCACCCACCGCGATCGCTTCCCATTTCGACCACCGCAATACTCTCCAGGCAATATTGCAATACTCTGCGCAAAGATGGCCACCGGGAGCGACTGCAGAGCTCCCGAGGGCAGTTGGGGGTGGGGGCTGGCCGCCTGCCCGTAGCTCGACGTTGCTGCTTCCTGTGAGGAGTCTTTCACTCCCGGTGGTGCAATTAATCAGCCACGGAGTCCTGTCGATCAACCATTAAGCTCCGGTGAGAACCGAAGGCACTTTCTCCCGTCTCATGCCCCACCCTCGCTTTAGTTAAGGGAGGAGGAGGAGGAGGAGGGAGGTTGATCAACGGCAGCCTTTTCCTCCCGCAGTGTATGCAGTAGGAGAAAGGGGAGACTCTTTTTTTTTGGTTGGCTGTAAATCTTGTTTGTTGAATGAGTTCCTTCTTCGCGATTTTTCCTTTTCCCCCCCTTTAATGGTTTTTTCTTTCTGTCTTATAAATTTTTAGAAAGTTTTAGACAAAGGCGTGATACCATTGGTTGAAACCATCACATGATTTGCCTTGCTTCGTTACTCCTGGGGGTTATTTCAACACTAACCACAAGAGGGAGCAAAATACTAATTTGTGTCAAACTAAGGGAGTTCAGCTTTACTTTTCCTTAATGTTTTTTTGTGAGCAATAGGTCAGAAGACTGCTAAGCTATCTACAGGACTTTTTGTGAGCGGACTATTTTTCAACAGAAGACTGCTTTTATCAGGAGCTCAGACTTACTTTAACTTTGTTAAAACAGTCATCAATTTCTAGCTAGACAATTTTTCCAGGGGGCTATGTTGTCTCCCAGGTTCAAAGATTTAAGATGTGACAGAGAGGCTTACTAAAATGATCAAGCTGACTGATTATTTTCCATATTCTGCTTATCTAATCAACTGAATAACAAAGTTGGAATGGACCTTGGAGGTCTTCTAATCCAACCACTTGCTCAAGCAGGAAACCTATATCACTTCAGACAAATGGCTGCCCAATCTCTTTTTAAAAACGTCCAGTGTTCGAGCATTCACAGCTTCCAGAGACAAGCCATTCCACTGATTAATCGTCCTGTCAGAAAGTTTCTCCTTAATCTAGGCTGGATCTCTCCTTGATTAGTTTCCATCCTTTTTGTCCTGCCTTCAGCTGCTTTGGAGAATAATTTGACACACACACACCCTTCTTTGTGGCAGCCTCTAAAATATTGGAAGGCTGCTCTCATGTCCCCCCTGGTCTTTCTCTTCACTAGAATAGATAAACCCTTCCCCCTCCCTTCTCCTCTTTCATGTTGGGATGAATGATACAAAAAAGAATGTAAATAATTACTACCCTTCCACAGAACTACACAGTACTAGGGATGAAAACCTTCTTGAAAGTATAATATATATATTATATATATATATAAAGAAATGGCATTGTCATAGGTGTGTGCTCAGCCAATAAGAAGAAATCAATGAACTCTGCCAATCAGTTAGCTGAGGCATGCAGGAAACACAACATTGTAGTAATTGGTGATTTTAACTACCCTGAACTGAAGTCAACTGGGAAACCAACTCTGCAGGCAGTGGGGAGATCAAACAGGCTCCTGACTTGCCTGGTTGACAACTTTGTCCTAGAAAAGGTGGAGGAGGGAACTAGAAGGACTTAATTCTTACTAAAAGGGATGAAATGGTTGAGGGAGTGGAAATTACGGGAACTTGGAGGGAGAATGGTCATCTCAAACTAGAATTCCCCATAATGTAGGCAAAGGTGGCTGAACAAAGTCAAACTAGTATTTTAGACTTTAAAAGAGCTGGCTTCAACAAACTGAGACATTAGGAAGGATTCCATGGATGGAAAACCTAAAAGGAAAAACAGTACAGGATGCCTGGGATGTTCTGAAAAACCAAAGACCTCCAAAAGCAACACCACAGAGAAAGAAAAACAAGAGAGACCAGCATGGTTGCACAAGGAGCTCCTGGATGAGCACCACACCCTAAATCCGGATGGATGCATCTCCGAGAGGGTTTCAGCTTAGACCGGAGACTGAAAACTGGATAATTGCATAGGGATAGAAATGGCCTGTAGTAACGAAATGTAAATGCAAAAAGATGAGACTGTAACTGTTGCTAGCACTGGAGTTAGAAGTCAATGCTTTTTTTATTTGGTGCTTCTTTTATCCTGCACCCCCTTTCCCTATTTTATACTATAAGAAACTTCAATAAAACAATGATAAAGGGGCACACGTGATAATCTCCTTCAAGGTCATGGGACACCCCCCCTCCTCCTCAGGGAGACCGATGCTCCTTCCAGGGCCCAACCACAGGCTGCCTGCCAAGACTGACTAGGTGGCTCAGTGGTTAAGACACTGAGTTTGTTGATCAGAAAGGTTGGCAGTTCGGCGGTTCGAATCCCTACTATAGGTCTCCCGTGTGAGCAGGGGGTTGGACTAGATGGTCTCCAAGGTCCCTTCCAACTCTATTACTGTTACCTAGCCCCCACAAGCCAGGAGGGTTCCGGCTGTCATGAAGAGACTTCATGGGGTGGGGGGGCTGCCCTGGTGTGGGGCTGGATAGTGAAGGACTTCGGGGGGGGGGAGCAGAACAGAGAAGGGAGAAGTCCTGTTTGTGCCATGGTTGGGGGCAATTTTTATTTATTTACCCAATTTATTTGCCACCCATCCCATGGATTCAGGTGATTCTGAGGGGGGCAAAGGGCCTCTGGCTTGCCAAAGTAGCATTTCCCCCTTGTTCTGAAGTCTCGCCAAACACAGCCACTCCTAAACTCAGAGGAAAACACGGCCCAGGACTGCAAGGGAGCATGGCCAGGTGCTCTCCACGTGGCCCGGAAGGCCCGATGCTGGGAGAGGGATGATCACCCACAAGTCTGGGGACAGTCCCAATGGCAATGGGGACACTCTAGGGAGGCAGCTGGGGATGGACGATCCTGTAGGAGGCTCAGCAAGGTGGCCACACAGGTGGCGCATAATCCACCAGTGGGAAAGGAGGGGCTGGCCTTCCCCTCCAAGAGGCCGCTGGGAAGGACACAGGCCACTCTGGAGGGAGGGGCTCCCCTCCCAAGCCATTTATTGGTTGCCCAGTACAAGAGCATCACACAAAGCAGGGCCAGAGCAAACCTTGCAGTGTCCTTCCTCTTCAGCCCAGCGTCCCGCTCTGGGGTGGGCCAACCCCCACCCTTGCCTCATGCTAGCTGGGGTGGGGAACCTCCAGAGGGGCAGGGCAGATGCCTAGGATGAGGGCAAAGAGTCTGGGCAGCAGCTCCTGCTGGGGCTCGCAATGGCCGTTCTTCTGAGCCCAGGGATGGCCGGTGAAGTGAGGCCCCAGTCGGATGAGCCTCTCTTGGTGAGCAGACCCGGCTTTCCTGCTGCCCCCCACTCCTCCGTCCAGAGTCTCCCCTTCCAGATCTCAGCATTTACACATTGCTGGCAAAGCAGCCCCAAGCCTCAGTCCTCACATCTCATCAGAGTGATGGGGCTGCAGGATGACGCTGGCAGCACCATCTGCCCAGCCAGGTTGCTGGTTGACAGAGGCAGGCAGGAGTGCCCTCTCCTTCCCCAGAGGAGGGTCCTTGGGGGCCAGGAGGAGCCCCTCCAAGGCAGGAGAAGGTGAGTCTGAGGAGGAGCTGTCGTTGCTGGCAGAGGCCCCCCGCCTAGTCCCCAGGGCGCTCCGTGGGCCTTCCAGAGACCCGTTGAGGCTTCCTGCAGCCCCAAAGGCTTTGGGGGACACAGCTTTCTCTGATGAAAGCAACCTGGGGGACCCAGGATGGGAGAGGGACATCGTCACTTCTGCTGGCTGGGAGGCACCAGCCAACGTCCGGGAAGCTCCGCTTGACAACTCGCGCAGCTTTCGGGACAACACTGGAAGAAGAAAAATGGGGCAGTTACAGCACTGTAGGGGAGCTGGGTTGCCCTCCTCGGGGTCCCTAGCAGCTTCCCCTTTCCCTGCCTCCTCCTCCCTTGGAATGAACTGCCCTCCAAAACTTTGTGCTTCTTAGTAGGATGGCATCTCCTGCTTGCCCCTTTCCTTCCTTTGGAAGAAGTTATCAGAAGTGCCCCCAAAGCAGCCCTGTCCCTCTGGGGATGCCATCGAGCCCCTGGCCAAGGAAAATATCATTTTGCAAAGGTATCTGCCAAGGACTCTTGGAGGCTACTTGGTCTTTCCTCTTTATGACCAGTGAAGGAAGTCAACAAAGCATCTCCTTCTCTTTCACCCATATGGTGAACTGCTCCAACGTGCAAACCTTGGTTCTGCACTGACTGAAGCCGGCCAGGCAGGCCAAAGGCCGCAGGGGGTTGTAGCCCCAGGAATTTGCTCAGTCTTTGCAGGAACTGCAGCCGAAAGCAAAAGGTTTTCTTGGGGGGGGGGGAGCTCCACCCGAGGGGGCTTAGCGGTTGCAGGGGCCAACCCAGCCCTGGAGACTCACCTCCATGCTGCCCCAGAGGTTGCTTCTGGCCGCCGAGAGGATAGAGGCTGGGCAGGAGGACCAGGCAGAAGGAGAAGAGCAGCACCTGGGCAGAGAGGGCATGGAAGGCAATCAGACCGCAGCTTGCATGGCCGAAACGTGCCCCCTCCTTGCAGGTCCCGTATTTGTCACACAGGAGGGGTGCAAGGAAGGGATGGCCAGAGGCCTGGAGGCACGGAAACTCACCAGGACACAGGTACTGGCTGCAGCCGTCTTGGTGGAGGAGTGCTGGATGAGCGCTTGCAGCTTCCTCAACTGCTCAAGCAGGGACCTGCAACAAAGCAAGGCTGACTCGCCCTCAGCTGCACCAGGGGGGTCTCTCGCTGGTTCAGCCCCCTGCCCTGAACCAGGCTCTTCCAGACTCAGCCGAGGGCTGCACCACTATGGAGGGGCACGGTCTCGGTCATTGTTTGATCCGCGTGCGGGCAAATAAAGCACAGGGCTGCTACGGCCATCCCCAATTGGCCTGCAGAACCCTCAAGAGGAGAGCGGCCTCCCCCACCCCAACTCACATGTTCTGCTTCTGCAGCAGCTGCACCTTCTTCTGAAGCTCGCTGTTCTGGGCTGTGCAGGCCAGCACCCTGAAGAGAGACGGGTCAAGGAGGAAGCCCAGACAGGGTAGATGCCAGGGTGGCAAGGAGACAGGAGAGCAAGGAACACCCTGCCCTGCTGTCTCATGAGGAGGGGGGCTCCCAGACCCCCTCCCCCACCCCTCTGCTCAGCGAGGATACCCACCTGCTCTCCAGGTTGTCCATGTAGACCTTCTTCCGCCGCCGGCTGTCCTGGGCAGACTGCTTGTTGCGGATCTTCCTCCGGACTCGCTTCAGGACCCGCTCCTCTGTCTGGCAGCACACGGGGTAGGGATGGGTCAGCCAAGAGCCTTCCCTCCCCCAGGCAACTTCTGCTTTTCAGCCTGCCTGCCAAGGCTTTTTCCAGCCCTTAGCCCTATGCCCCTCCTCCACCGCCCGGAGGGAGCACCAAGCTGGCCACCATGCAGGGCAAGGCCCAGGCTGCTCTGTCTCCCTTTCCCTCCTGAAGTCAAGAGAGGGGCAGGAGGCTTTCACTCTCCCTGTGCCTTTGGCTGTCCCGCAGGCCAGGTGAGGAGGGCCCACCTTGGTCAGGGGCAAGTGGGAGGGAATTGCGATGCCCTCCTTCTCCAGGAGCTGCTTCTCCTCATCTGTCAGGACCAGCGGGGGGAAGTCCAACTGGAAATGCAGAAAAGATGGTGGCTGATCAGGGTCAGGTCCTGGGAAGCACCAGGGCTGAGGGGCTCTGGAAGAGTGGCCTGGCCAGGCTGCTTACCTGCATGCTTTCTCCTACCAAGGGCTCTGCTGTTGGTGCTGCAATGGGAAGGCCGAAGCCCTCGGTGGTCTCCACATCTGCCCACATTTCTGGAAGAGGAAAGAGACCTGTGCAACTGGCAGCACTGTGAAACAGCTCCCCCCCCCCCCAGTGCAAACCTCACCCTTGTCCTGGGGCTGGGTTCACACAAGACACTAAGCTGGTTAGAGCAGGTCTGGTTAGTGGAAGGCTCCAGCACATTGGCTTGTTGGCAGAACCAGCCAGCTACTGAGGGGGATGGGCTTTGATGGGCCCAGCCAGGGATGCCAGTGTGGGTCATTTGTCCAAGGGTTGGGGGAAGCCAGCTGGGGCACAGAGCCATAGGAAGCCCCTGTAAGGCTAGCTGAGTTCTGAGAATCCAATTTCCAAACCCTCAGATTAGCCTCCCTCGATCCAGGGTGCTTTGCTAAAATTGCACCCTCATTTCCTTACAGGGGAGCAAACAGCCCCCTTATAGCCCTGTCAACTCTATAAGTCTGAATGTCTATATACATTCTGATACTTAAAGCTAAAAAGCAAGCCCCCCCTTCTTTTTATTTATTTTTTATTTATTTTATTAAATTTCTATACCGCCCTTCTCCCGAAGGACTCAGGGCGGTGTACAGCCAGAAATAAAACCATGACAATATAAAAAATTAAAAACAATTTAAAACAATTAAATCAATTGGCCAAAAATTCTAATAAAACAACCCATTAAAATAGTAAAAATATTATTATTTAGGCCAGCCCTGCTTGTTGGAATAGTAATGTTTTTAAGGGCATGGCGAAAGGTACGCAGGTCGGGAATCCTATGAATCTCCGGGGGCAGCTCATTCCAGAGGGTGGGGGCCCCCACAGAGAATGCTCTCCCCCTGGGGGTTGTCAGCCGACTGTCTAGCTGGCGGCACCCGGAGGAGCTACTCTCTGTGGGAGCGTACCGGTCGCTTTTTACTATACAACTGGCTTGGGAGGGAAGGGCTGTCTAATCCTCTGTGTAACCTTATAAAACATCTCTCCATGACTTCTGGCGTGTGGCCGAAGGCCACCTGAGGTGTGAAAGCCCCTGACTCAGGGGCCTCCTACAAAAGCAGGGAGGGTGTCAGGAAATAGCAAGTTACTGTCCCAAAGGGAGCAGATTGGAGCTGAAGCCCAGAGTAACAGGGTTGTAAGGGACCTTGGAGATCTTCTAGTCCAACTCCCTGCTCAAGCTGAAAACACTATACCATTCTGGACAAACGGCTGTCTTCTTAAAAACTTTCAGTGTTGGAGCATTCACAACTTTCAGAGACAAACCGTTCCCCTGGTTTTGTTTTCACTGCCAGGAAATTTCTCCTTAGTTCTAGGTTGGATCTCTCATTGATAAGCTTCCATCCGTCGCTTCCTGTCTTTCCCTCCAGTGCTTTTGAAAATAGTTTGACACCCCTGTGACAGCTCCTCAAATATTGGAACATTGCTATCCTGTCATCCTTAGTCCTCCTAGACTAGACACAGCCAGTTCCCCCAATTGTCCATCGAGTCTTTTTGCTGCTCTTCTCTGCACTCTTTCTAGTCTCATCATCTTTTTTGTATTGTGGTGGCCAAAACTGGATGCAGTATTCCAGGTGTGGCCTTTCCAGAGCACTATATAGCAGTACTAACACTTTACACAATCTTGACACTATTGCTCTGTTGATGGACTAGGTTGGCTTTTTTGGCAGCTGCAGCACACTGCTGGCTCACACTTAAGCGGTGGTCCCCCAGACACCTGAGTTAGAGTTACTACTGTTGAGCCAAGTACCTTCTATTCAACACCTGTGCATTTGATTTTTCTGCCTAGATGCAGGACTTTGCTTTTCTCGCCGCTAAAATGTGTATTGCTGGATAGGGCCCAATGCTCAAGTCTGTCAAGATCCGTCTGTATTTTGAGTCTATCATCTAAAGTGTTAGCAATTCCTCCCCAGCTTAGTGTCATCTGCAAATTTGATGGGATTCCCCTTCTATCCCCCTCTTCTAAATCATTGATGGAAAACACTGGAGTCCTGGAGTCCCCGTAGATGCACTTCCACTGAGGACTGCAAGTTGAGTGCGGCTGGTCAGCCAGTTACCAATCCATCTGCTGGTGGTGCTGCTGCCTATCCCACATTGTTCTCTCTTACCAAGAAGTAGGCGGTGGTCTATGTTATCAATTGCCTTACTGGAGTCAGAATTTTGCAAGTGGGAAAGCGGTGCGCCCCCCCCCCCCCGCCGGAGAACCAGAGCAGGAGCAGCAGCTGCGCCTGGCTGAAGGCCAGCCCTGGCAGCTCAGGTGGCTCTTCCGGGTTGCTGCGGCCGTTTCTCCGTCCTCCGCGCCACGCACAAGGAAGCGGCAGGGCGGCCCGTAAGTTCGCTCTCGGCCCACGGCAGCCCCCGAGCCGTCGCCCGCCTCCGCCCGGACGGCCCCGCTCACCCAAATCGATGGCCACGTCGCCCTCGGACGCCTCCCGGGAGGGCTCCGTGCGCGTGGCGTCGGGGGAAGTCAGGTGCAGGGAGTAGTTGTGCTCCCGCTCCACGCGGCCCGAGGCAGGGAGGCGGCTGGCGGGAGACGGGCTCCGGTCCTCGGCGAGGCTGCTCTGGCCGGAGGGCTCGGCGGAGCTGTCCGATTCCTCCCCGAAGGGGCTCCAGAGGCACCGCAGCAGCTCCTCCAGCTCCTCCTCCTGCCCGCTCGGGACCTGCGGGGCGAGAGGAGGCAGGAGCAACCAGGGCCAGCCGAGGGCACCGCCCGCCCGGCCGCCCCCCCCTGCCCGGCCCGGCCCGCCGCTCACCTGCGGGAAGCCCCACGGCTCCGGCTCCGGCTCCGGCCCGTTCCCCAGGAAAAGCTCTTCCCGCAGCAGGAAGTCCAGCAGGTCCTGCTCGGCCATGCCTCCCCCCCTCCCCTCGCCGCCTCTCCGGGCAGAAGCGCCGCGCGGACGGACCCCGGGCGGGATCCGCGGAAGGGAAGCCGGCAAAAGGCCCCACCGGCCGCCACTCGCTCCCGCTCCGACCTCGCCGCCCCTTCCAACACAGCAGAGATGACGTCACCCCGGAAGTCTCTCGCTCTCTGTCCGTCTTTCTCTTGTCCCGCCTCTCTCGCGGCCGCTCGCTGGCTGGCGCGGGCGTCACTCGAGCCTGGGAGAATCCCGCGGCCTCTGACGTCATGGGGCGCGGACGCCGGGTTCTCCCTCGGGAGCTTCCGGTCGCTGTGTGGCGGCACCGGCGCTAGGCTGAATGCCTGACGTCATGGGGGTCTCGGAGATGCTCTAATCGAGCTTGGCTTGCCCCCTCCGCCGTTGAACCCCTGCCTGACCTCAAGAGGGAGTTAATCGCAGTCAGAAACCCCCGCTCGCTTTTCATAGCTGTTCGTAGCCCTTGTTTTTTAGAATAGAATAAAACAGAATTCTTTATTGGCCACGTGTGAATGGGCACGCAAGGGATGCCTTGTCTCCGGTGCCTAAGCTGTGAGTGTACATACAAGCAACGTGAATATCATCGGGCTCCAGCTACCAGCCCTGGACGACATCTTCGCATCTCGCTGTTGGAGGAAGTTGCATAACACTCTCAGAGACTCTTCCCATCCTGCTTACAATCTTTTTGGACTGTTGCCTTCTGGCAGAAGATACAGAACAATTAAAACTTGGACCACACGTCTTCTGAATAGTTTTTATCTCAGAGCTATAATTGCACTCAACAATGAACTAGAGGGCCTCCATCAGTGAACTGTTGGACACCATGACTTGGTCTGTTGTGTGGATATTTGGGTGGGTGGGGGGGGGTGTTTGGGGATTGTTATGTGTGTTGGACCTGGTCTTTGGGTGTTAAGTGAATTTCGTTGTAGGGGTATACTGTGTATATGCGTACAATGACAATAAAGTTATTATTATTATCATAAATTATTATTATTGGTTAATCTTTAGTGAGATTCACAGCCTTTGAGGCTGGTTAAATAGCTCAGCAGCTCGAGTCCTTACCAAGGACCTAGGAACTGTTAAGGTATCGTCGGAGGATGTAAGCTATTCCAAGTAAGGTGGTTTTTTGTAGAGTCAAAATGTTCAAGTCCGGCAAATTTAGAATTATTTATTATTATTATTATATTATTATAAATTTAGAATTATTTAGAATCATAAATTATTATTATTATTATTATTTATTGTTAATCTTTAGTGAGATTCACAGCCTTTGAGGCTGGTTAATAGCTCAGCAGCTCGAGTCCTAACCAAGGACCTAGGAACTGTTAAGGTATCGTCGGAGGATGTAAGCTGTTCCGAGTAAGGTGGTTTTTTGTAGAGTCAAAATGTTCAAGTCCGGCAAATTTAGAATTTCTAAATAGCGGGGTAGCCCTTTGGGTATTGTTCTGAGGGCTCCAATTACAATCGGGACAACACACGATTTCTTTTTCCACAGTCGCTCAACTTCAATTTGTAAGTCCCGGTACTTTGTGATTTTTTCTTGCTGCTTATCTTCAATTCGTGCATCACCAGGTATTGCAATGTCAATGAACCATACTTTTTTCTTTTCAACTATTGTTATGTCAGGTGTGTTGTGGACCAAGTGCCTGTCAGTCTGAATCCTAAAGTCCCACAAGATCTTGAGTTTCTCATTCTCTAAAACTTTCTCAACCTGATGTTCCCAGTGGTTTTTGCTGTACTCAAATCCAAACTTCTGGCACAATTTCCAGTGAATGATTTTAGCAACACGGTCATGGCGTTGTAGGTAGTCAGTTTGTGAAATTTTGCTGCACCCACTGATCAGGTGGTCGACTGTCTCATCTTTCTCATTGCAGAGGCGGCATTTGCTGTTGGTGGTAACATGTTGAATTTTTGCCTTCATACAGTTTGTGGCTAGGGCTTGTTCTTGAGCTGCCAAAATAAAGCTTTCAGTTTCTTTTTTCAGTACTCCTGATCTTAACCAGTTCCAAGTTAGTTTCTGGTCAGCTTTGCCTTCAATACTTTTCAAGTATTGGCCATGCAGAGCTTTGTGTTTCCAATTTTCAGCTCGCTGCTCAATTACTTCTTTCTTATATTCTGCTTTTGTTTTAGTTGTCTTTAAAAGGCCTCCTTTATTTACTTCCTTAATCATTGGTTCTTCACTTTTCTGGATGTAATCATTCAAGCTGCATTTTTCTTCTTCCACAGTCTGCTTTACTTGTAGGAGTCCTCGACCACCCTCAGCTCTTGGTAAATATAATCGGTCAACATCACTTTTAGGGTGCAAGGCATGATTCGTTGTCATAAGCTTCCTTGTTTTTCTGTCCAAATTGTCTAACTCCATCTGGGTCCAGTCAATTATTCCTGCAGAGTATCTAATCACAGGTATAGCCCAGGTATTTATGGCTTTTATGATGTTTCCTCCATTCAATTTGGACATTAATATCTTACGAATTCGCCGAATGTACTTGGCTGAAGTTAATTCCTTGACTTTATTATGCATTAAGTCAGAGGCTTCTAAAATCCCCAAGTACTTGTAGCCTTCTTCTGGTTTTACTGCCTTTATCATTTCTTCATTCTCTAGTTCTATTCCATCTTCTTTTATGATCTTGCCTGCTTTGGTTGCTATTGTTGCACATTTGTCAATTCCAAACTGCATACCAATGTCTTGGCTGAATTCTTTTGTGTTTTCAATTAATAAATTCAGTTCAGCTTTTGTTTTACCAAACAGCTTCAAATCATCCATGTACATCAAGTGCGAGATTTTCAGTCCTTTCTTTGCAAGTTCGTATCCACAGTTCATCTTCTTCAAAATGATTGTCAGTGGTAGCATTGAGAGTATAAAAAGTAGGGGTGAAAGGGAATCGCCCTGGAAAATGCCTCGTTTAATTTCAACTTCACCCAGTTCTTCTTCATTAGCCATAAGTTTTGTTTTCCAGAGGTTCATTGAAGATTCCATGAATTTTTGTATGTTGCTGCTGATGCCTAATATTTCCAGGCATTTCTTGATCCAGCTATGGGGAACTGAATCAAATGCTTTCTTATAGTCTATCCAAGCCATGAACAGGTTGGTTCGTCTTTTCTTTGAGTTCTTTAGGATTAGCTTGTCGATCAGCAATTGATCTTTTGTTCCTCTTGAGTTTTTGCAGCATCCTTTCTGTTCTACAGGAAGCAAGTTATTTCTTTCCAGGTATCCATAGATTTGGTTTGCAATGATACCAGTAAGAAGCTTGTATGTTGTTGGCAAGCAGGTGATTGGCCTATAGTTTCCAGGGTCCTTTCCTTTTTCTTTATCTTTTTGGATCAAAAATGTCCTTCCAGTTGTCATCCATCCATCATTTTCAGGTGTTTTTAGGATCTGGTTCATCTGGGTTGCCAATCTTTTGTGCAGACTTGTAAGTGCCTTTAACCAGAAGCCATGCAGCTCATCCGGTCCAGGTGCAGTCCAGTTCTTCACTTTTCTTGACTGTCTTTGCACCATTGCTTTTGTTATTTTCACGTCTTCCATTTTATGCACTTTAATAGAGTCCTCAACCTGTTTGATCCATTTTGCATTTTTGTTGTGCTTCTTGTTGTTTTCCCACAAATTCTTCCAGAATTTCAGAGCTTTCTCTTTATCAGGCTTTTCATTTGTTGTTACTCCGTTTCCATTTTCTAAATTCTTATAAAACTGGTGCTGATTTGCTCTGAACTGTGAGTTTTCCTTGAACTGAGTTACTCGGTTTTCATACCTTTTAATCTTTTCAGCGATGGCAACAACCCTCTGCTTCAGCTCTTCAATTACTACTGCAATCTCCTTATTCCTTAGTTGTTGTTGTTATTATTATTATTATTATTATTATTATTATTATTATTATTATTATTATTATTAATTTTATTTCTATACCGCCCTTCTCCCGCAGGACTCAGGGCGGTGCACAACCAAAATAAAACATTGTATACAAAATTTAAAAAACAATTTAAAAACAATTAAATAATTTTGGCCCAAATAATTTAAAACAACCCAAATTAAAACCGAATCAATTAAAACTGAGAGGACAGGATCAAGCCAGCCCAGCTAGATGGAATAAGTGTGTTTTTAGGGCCTGACGAAAGGTCCGGAGGTCTGATATCGTGCGCAACTCGGGGTAGGTCGTTCCAGAGGGCTGGTGCCGCCACAGAGAAGGCTCTCCCCCTGGGGGTCGCCAGCCGGCACTGTCTGGCCGACGGCACCCTGAGGAGGCCCTCTCTGTGCGAGCGAACCGGCCGGTGGGAGGCTATTGGCGGCAGAAGGCGGTCTTGCAAATAACCCTAAGCCATGGAGCGCTTTAAAGGTGATCACCAACACCTTGAAGCGTACCCGGAAGACCACAGGAAGCCAGTGTAGCTTGCGCAGGAGAGGTGACACATGGGAGCACCCTGTCGCTCTCATAATCCCCCACGCGGCCGCATTCTGGACCAACTGCAGCCTCCAGGTGCACCCCAAGGGGAGCCCCATGTAGAGAGCATTGCAGTAGTCCAGGCGGGAAGTGACGAGTGCTTGAGTGACCGTGTGTAGGGAGTCCCGATCCAGAAAGGGACGCAACTGGCGTATCAGGCAAACCTGATAGAAAGCCCCCCTGGCCACGGCTATCATATGCTCTTCTAAAGACAGCCGTGCATCCAGGAGGACGCCTAAGTTGCGAGCCCTCTCCGTGGGGGCCAATGATTCGCCCCCAATAGCCAGCGATGGCACCAGCTGGCTATATCGGGACGCCGGAAGCCACAGCCACTCGGTCTTGGAAGGGTTGAGTCGGAGCCTGTTTCTCCCCATCCAGGCCCGCACGGCCTCCAGGCACTGGGACATCACTTCAAGGGCATCGTTGGGGTGGCCTGGGGTGGAGATGTATTATTATTATTATTATTATTATTATTATTATTATTATTATTATTATTGAGATTTATATGCCGCCCTATCTCCAGCCGTACTCATATACAACACTCAGTGATAGTGATAGCAATCCACATAAATCACAATAGGATACGAAATAAAAGCAATGTTTCCATTGCTTGTGAGCTGCCTAGGATAGAGATTCTCAGTCGGAACTGCCTTTAGATGTGGAGGCTTCCAGAAGTCCCCAGC